TAGACCTCCTTCCCTATCTGGCCATGCGTTTTCATATGGCGCGTCAGCTTACTGCTCTGGGCACATGCATAGTTGCAGAGCTCGCATTTGTAAGGCCGCTCTCCAGTGTGGCTCCGACGGTGCACCGTCAAATTGCTGCAGTTCTTAAAGACCTTGCCACAGTACTCACATGTATCGCTCCTGCGCCCTTCCTTCGAACTGGGTCGCCCGGGGCCGGGACCACTGATGTGGGGGGTGCTGCCTCCGCTCGCCGTGCCGCTGCGCCCTGAGAGCCCCCCGTCCAGCATGTCCCCCGGCGGGGTGGAGAAACGCAGGCTCCCGTTCTCCGACGAGTGCTCGGAAGAGGTCGCGAAGGGGGATTGTCGGGAGTCTGTGAATCCAAGGAACGGATCCTTCATGAAGTGCCGCGATGCTGCATACCCTACCAGCCACTGGGAGTAAACATTTTCGGAAGGTATTATCGTTGCTGGTGGCAAGTCCAAATCTTTCTCTACCTTTATTCTTTTAGAGGAATTGTTTAAACTGGGGCTTGTGATAGGCGTTGGCTTGCGGGGGAACAAGTTTGGGAAGGGTTCACCTGGGCCAAAGTTTCTTCCGTTGACCGTCCCTTCCTCAGTGCGGTCCAACTCTCCTACCACAGAGTCTTCGTCACCTGGATCTCTCTGACAGAGGTCTCGAGGACACAAGTCTCGCTGGTCCGAAGACCTTTTCATGAAGCTACTCCTCTTCTGTTTTTCAGCTAGCATGTCATTATATTGCTGGATGGCACCTAGACTTACATTCTCAATGACTTTTCCCAGGACGAGGGATTTCTCGTCTGGCAGTGACTTGGAGCCATTTTCTCGGTTACGACTCAGCTCCGAGTCCATACTGAAGCTTGACTCTGGACGGCTCTCATTTTCAAGCTCCTCTTCCTCTTCTTCCTCCTCTTCCTCTTCTTCATTGTCATGACCCAGGGAAGGATCACTCTCATTCCTGAAATCTGCCTCACTGGATTTCAGTCCCTCCCCGGTGAGCTCACTTGTGCCCGGCTCAGGGGAACTAGTGGTGGACAGTCCATCATCTGACCTGCCCGTCATGGAACCAGCTTTATGCATATGCGTTTTCATGTGGCGTTTTAACTTGCTGGCCTGGGAGCAAGCGTGGTCACAGAGCTGACACTTGTAGGGCTTTTCTCCTGTGTGACTGCGCCGGTGCACAATAAGGTTACTCTGGAACTTGAATGTTTTCCCACAAAATTCACAGGACTTGCTCTTGGCCTGAGGCTGGGGAGGTGTAGTGCTGCTGGGGGGCATGGGGGGCAGTGGCGGGGTGCTCAAAAAAGGTGATTTAGGACTTGGCTGGAAAGGATTCAACAGGCGATGCATAGGGTTGGTGCGACTGGGCGAGACTGGCGGAGGGGTGGAACTGTTTCCTGCCAGCTCTCGAAGCCTTCTGGAGAAATCCATCGCTGGGGACTCAATTGCCATGGGGTTTAAACGCATAACTCTATCAAAGGCACTGGGATGCTGGGCAACTAACCCCATTTCTTCGGCACTAAGGCGATGTGGATCCAGATGATGACGAGGCGGTGGGCTGAACAGCGGAGGCGTGTTTGGAAGCCGACCCTCACCAAAGCCAGGGTGTTCACGCAAGATGGGTCCTGTCATCCGCAGAAGATTGAAAGGGTTGTTGTCTCCAAGGAAATTCATCAGCGGGGACTGTGCAACAGTCTCTGGTCCCAGAGGAGGAGGGATGGTGATGCGTGGAGTAAGGGAACTGTTTGAAGGGCTTGTTTCCAGGTAGATGCGGAATCCATGTGTGTTCTGGGCATGCTGAAGCAAGAACCAAGCGCTATTAAAAGGCTGCTTGCATGTTGTGCAAATATAGCTTGAAGGCTCATCTTTACCTATAAAAGAAAAACAGAAAGAACACTCAAAAAATAATACAGCGGAGAACGTTTAAATACAGTTGGCATGCACTTTATTTTGCTAACATATTTCCTCCTTGGCATTTCTGAAAGAAGGACTTAATTGCAATGTATTGAATGATATAAATTGCTGAACAGCACATTTACTCACCACACTTATTCACTTAACATGTATGACAAATATCACACATACGCATTTGTGCTATATACGTTTATATTCTCTAAGTTGCAAATAAAACCCTCCTTTATGACACATAAGGATCCAAATCTTTTCACGTGTTTATTCCACAAAAAGGAATTTGTTTCAAGGGATTTACGACTACAGACAAAAGCCAAGGAAAACGCAGTGTGGTATGTTTTACAAGGCACCTGCAAGGAGCTTCAGTGTCATTTTCACTCTTTCATTTTATATTTTTATATACTTCATGCAGCAGTCCCCCGAGATGTAGCTCAATTTAATTTATACATGCTTCAGTCATACTAGCACTTCCATTTTTAAAATACTATGTAGGTATTTAGCTGCACAAGTACTATTCAAGTCAACAGGAGGTTGGAAAACGTACCTTTGCATAAACCACTTTGACATTCTTTTTGCCAAAACACCAAGAAGCCACTCAAATGAAACATCCGGTAATCAAAGCTGACAGCACAGTTGCAATTAACAGTAACAAATGTCAGGCCATGCTTGAACTGGGTCCCAAGAATTTCTGAGCCTGAGCCTGCCCTCCAATGCAGAAATGCTCACCAGAGCCAAAAACATTGTTCTGTTTGCCTTTCTAGCCTCTTTGAAGGACTGCATAAAGGTGGAAAGCATTCCTTTAACCTTGATTCAGCTTTACATAAAGGACAGGTGTGGACAAGTCTGCACTACAGTCATAATTTCACTAGCTAGAAAATTCCAGTCCTGGGCACAATATAAACTATGTGCTATCTTCAAAAAACCCTTCCCCCCCCCCTCCCTTTTTTCAATGCCTCTGCAAGACTCTGATAAATTCATAAATATGTGTCAACTTGAAAATCATGAACCAGGATTTGGCTGTTATGGTTGGGGTTTTTTTTCAGTGAGAGGGAAGTTTCCTGCAAAACAACTACCCATTTTAGAAAAGCTAAAATTAATTTCTTGTTTGGTTTGTTTGTTTGTTTATGAAAACACATATTTTGGCTAGCGATGGCCCTGCTGGACCTAAAGGCAGTAAACTTCCTGAAAGTTACTCCAGGCTTCCTCCCTGACCCATATTTGCTTAACGACTCAGATGAAGCCAAATCCCAGCCCCTCTGCAGGAGCTCAGATCCAAAGCTGAACTACACAACCCCCTTCCAGGCAGGAGGGACTGCGATTCACAAAAGCCTGTTGCTTGAGCTTGAAAATGAAAGTGTTTATAAGGTGAACAGAACCGTATTATCAAAACTACCTCTGTGAAGAGGAATGACTCATAGAAGTAAAAAAAATTAAAAAAAAAAAAATTAAACTCGGGCACATCAGGCAAAGCAGAATTGTTGATTGCTGCTGACTGAATTCCCCTCTTCTGGCTGTTCCAGGAACGGCTGCTGCTAACAAAACCTACAAAACCTTATACAAGGAGGCTAGAAGATTATCTGTCTACCTATCAGCCTGTCAGTCTATCTAATCTTATTGCCCAATGAACATCCATAAAAGCATAAAGAAAAGAGCATCTATCAGATTGAGACCTATTTACAAAGGTAGGTGATAAATGTGGTGGATGTCCTCACACTCCTGTTGATTTAGTAGGGCTAGTGCTGTGGATAGCAGCTTCAGACCCGGATTTCGGAGAAGCCGGCTCTCCACAACCAAGACAAAATGTGCACAACAGCGTGGGTGTTTCTGCCTGGTTGGCACGGCCCCCTTGCCCCAGCCCTGTGCGCTGTGTCATACAGGACAGACCCAGTTGCTTTGATTAACCTCTGACAACCGCTATCAGAAAAAGCTACAAGTCTGGGAACTGTACTGGGCTTGGAAAAACTGCCCGTAACTGCTATTGACATTAATGAAAGCCACATACAAACACGGAAAGGAATTGATACATTATCCCTTAAAAATATACTCAGCACCAAGGCAGTTAGGGAGTTTTATGTCAGCTCTGCAGCCAAAGCAACAGTAAATGCTCCCATTATTACTTCAAATATTCAAATTTCTGTTTCTTACAGAAAGATGATGAAAATGTCTAGACCTTTAACTTTTCTTGCACAGCAACATGTGTAGTATAAAAAGTGACAGAAATCACTGAAGCAGACTAAAGTATATAACATACTCTGTCAAAAGCTTTTTTTAACAATATGTTTTACCTCAGCTCACCCTAGAATAGATTTTAATAAAGCCCTTTCTGAAGTGTGATCTAATAGCAAATGAAGTGCAGCATCTTGCAAGGTCATATATCTTCAAATTAAAGAGTGCTCTGCACCCTTCACCTTCATTTTATCCACTCTAATTAATCGATTTATTACCCACAGCTGTTCAATTCTTTCATTTTTAAAGTCACAGCATGCATTCTTTTTTGTTGTGGGGTTTTTTTATTTAAAAAAAATAAAGTGTGTGAGTGTGTGTGTGTGTGCATGTGTTCTTGCTTAGGTCAAGAGCTGACAGGAGGAAGAAAGCAGCTGTGTATTAGACAACGACAACAACAACAGCAACACGTTTACTTCAGCAAAGGCACATACGTAAGGAAAAAATTCCTGAGCAGACCGAGGATCAAGGCCAATCTAAAACTGAAATGGCTGATTAAAAAAATTACCCTCAAAATGGCAGCTGGCTGGATGCTTGCTACTACATGTTACGTGGAACTGAGATGGTTTGTTTTGCTTTGTTTTATTTTGTTCTCCAAAACTTCACCTCTGTGAAATTCAAGTGAGGAAAGTAAATCTCCCTCTTTTTTAGTTTTCTCTCAAACAAAGCAAATTAGTGTTGTTAGTGATGTAAGATTTACAAGCTAGCAGTCATAAAGCAGTCTTCTTTTCCTTTTTGTTTTTAGCTTTTACACTCCCTAACACTCCTCTTCAGGAGACCCCAACAAGACAGCCAAATGGACTGCAGGCTACCTGGCTACACATCTCTGACTGCTTCACGAATGTTCATGTGTGCATGCCTGTGTATATACATATTTTAACTTTCACAGCCCTCAAAGGCTATCCCCAGACTCCCTGTTTAAAAAAAAAGAAAAAAATAAAATAAAATGTTCATTTCCATATTATCACTTCATGGTTATCTTGCCTAGAAGTTGCCCTGAGCAGTGTAGATGCTCACTTTTAAGAACAGAACAATGTCAAAAAGTCTTTGAAGATCTGCTCTGAACATTTTTATATTCAAAAACTTGCTAAATATTTTAAACATGCCCAGAAACAGCCACATATTGCTCAAGAATGATCCTTATATTTAATAATGCAGTGCACCTACACTATAAAACTCTTTGTTATAAGGCTACTTTTGATATATGGCTATCTTAATCCCTTGCCACCTGCACTGAAGTCTGTCTAAATACCCACTTTATGACAACTAGCTATGTAGGCTTTGCCATATGCAGTCTTTATCAGTTTAGTATGTGCTTGACTTTGAGCATGTGAGTAATCAGCATCAGTGAAAGTTAAGCATAGGCTGAAGTGCTCTGTTGGATAGTGATGAAATTATTCATGTGCTTAGAGTTAAGCACAAGCCAAGACTTCATTAATACTGTTCAATGAATTGCACATAGATTCAACCCTACAGTCAGGCAACTAGGCATGATTTTGGGGCTGATGGCTCAAGTATAATTTTTTATCTTTACATTAGTTGGTAGATACGGTGTACATACTGAGATGAGACATCCAGCCACAAGCCTTGAGCAGTCAATAGTAGCTTCAAGGTTACACTATAGCCAAACAAATACTGCCACTGGAGTTCAGACATGAGACAGGTTTGTAGAGCTGGATCCTCCCGAGACACAGGTGTTTAGGTTCAGAAATATTGATTTGAAGCCTAGGAAGGACCGTGAAATTAAAAAATGAGAGGACTGGGATAAACCTTAAGAGTTTCCCTTGTCCAATTCCTGACCCACGCGACATCCGTATCTGTGCATCTATTCATATCTATGGCAGATGCTCCTTTATTCCACTTCAAAGGCCACCCAAATGGAGAGTCTACATCCTTCCCAAAGTCTGCCTCAATCCCTCTCTCCTTTACCAACATGAAGATTCCCCAAATGCCTATTATAAGTCTTTCTTCCTGCAATTTAAGTTCATAAAACTTTGTCCTATCTACATGTACATGAAAAACATAGAAAACAATGTAGTCTGCACCTCACATACATTATTTCATCCAACCCAGTGATTTGCAGTTGAACCACTTCATGTCTTTTAGCACTTGCTTCTCACAGATTGATCTGAGAGAGAGAGAGAATGAGAGAGAGAATTCACTATATAATGGCGTGTTTGTGGCAATGGTTTACTGTCTTCTGTATTAAAAAAAAACCTGTCGTCTTTCCACTTCAAATTGTTGAGTTCAACTGCCAACCATTAGATCTTGTTATGTTTTTATCTGGTAGATTAAAAACCTCTCTAGTATCTTCTCTCTAAGCAGGTAATTATAAACTATCAACTTATTGAACAACCTTGCCTTTTCTGCATATTATGACAAAAGATGGTCTTTTCCAGAAGTATTAAAATGTGTTCCCCCATTACTGCATGACAGATTATGCTCTGTTCAAAATGTCAAAGCAGTAATGAGCTTTTTTTCTCTTTCATGAACAGCACAAAACAAAGCTAAATTCAGATCCAGTCTCCCAAATTCCGCCCTTACAGGGGGCAGTGAGAAAAGACAGGTCAGTTTGCCGAGCCCAGAACAAGAGTATCCTGGGGTCTGTGGACATTCATCCCACTGCACCAGGCAGCATGAATCCACTGAGTTATCTGTCCTCTGCAGCCTGACTTGTATCAGTTAGTGATACGCAGATCTTCCTTGCCCAGTTGGCACATGACTTTCTATATACCCTGAATGCTGAGTGCCTTTGCCCTGGAGATAAATTTCACCCAAAATATCCTCAGTTATTCTGGATAACATCAAACAATAACCAGTGCAAGATAAGAACTGTTGAGAATTCATTATTTGCTCCTAGGCTACAGTGACATCCAGTGCTTTACGAATCCTCCCCTCAGCATGCCTGAATAATTCCATAGCTGTAACAGAGAACGAACTCCTCCCCACCCCCCTTTTTAATCACCCACCCATAACCCCTGCCAGGACTGTGGTGACGACCTGCAGTCAGGTCCACACACAACCACTGCCATTCTTCACCTCTAGCAATACTTTCCAGATAATGTTTCTGGTTCCCTTTACAAAGTTACAACAGCAGCAATAAAAATGTTAAGGAATTTTAATGCTGCTTTACTGCACCTTTAGAAGTTCAGGAAAAGTAGAAACTTGTATGCTTTAAAGAAAGGACATCTTTTATTGTAGCACTCAGGAACAGACACGTATCAGGTTCGTACAATCTTTCCACCAATGTTACTCTCTTCTCCACCACTTGATTTTTAATGAGCATTTAAATAATTACTCCTTGTTATTATGATGGTTACTCTAATAATACCAATAAAGGTAACGTGGATGCTCCATAAAAAACATACCTTTAATTGAATTATTA